ATTTCCCTATTGTATTTTTATTCCTAGGGGGTAACGCTCACCTGAGTTTGTGCGTCATAGAGAAAAATAAAAATACATTCCCTTGTTATTTATACCTAGTAATGGGGGCGACCTACACTAGTATATCATAAAAGAAAAAATAGTGTTTTTATTTCCAGTGGACTGTTTACAAAATGTGTACGTTATAAATATAAAAAAATAATAATAAAAGTAACTGGCAGTTTTATTTCCAGTGGAGAATTTACCACATATTGTACGTCATATAAAAAAAAAACTTTTATTTCCAGGATTGAGGGCAATATGAGCACGTCTGTTATCTGGGAAAAAAAAGTCCAAAGAAAAGTTACTGCTATTGACGCTCGTTTACTGGAGTCATGAAGCACTGAACACACACACCAATAACACGGCTTCAAGTTAGGATAATTTCTGAACGTGTGCCTTTAGGAAAAACTATAATAAAAATTGGATTAAAACTTAGGATCAATTTTCATACATAGAACCGAGTAATTAGTAGGTAGTAGGCAGCTACCAAACAGGGAGGTACTACCGCCTGGGAAGATATTGGCAGCATAATGTGTTGTCTAATGGTAGACCCTGCTGCCATATGTGACCAAGTCCCAGGTTGGTGATCTGACTTTCTGCCTCATTTACACACAGTTGCAGGGTCTCAATTGTTTCTCTTACTACTGACAACACAACATACATATATTGTTTCTCACTATTGATCTTTTTTTTAATTTTTGTATTTCTTTATGGTTCTTTATTATTATTATTGTTATTATTATTATTATCAGTGTTGTTGTTATTATTATTATTACATTGTCGTCCCCCAGGCCCCAATGTGGGTCAGTGACCTGTGCCCGGGTGGGCTAATCCCCGTAAAAAAATATGTATATATATATGGAATGAGTTTTAAATTATTCACTCACTCATGACGTCCTTAGCAACATTATGACTGGACGATGTGGCTCGTTGGTTGGTTAGTACACAGCGTCGCCACAAGTCTGCATTCACTGCTGATTTTATTGATTTTTTCTTATTTTGTGTCGAATTTGTGTTTTTTAAAAGATTATAAATGCTAAAAAATAAAAAAACACACATACACATATAATGGCTGCCCCTCGTGCACGAGGATGGCCGGCCCAAGGGCCACCTAGGCGTGAATTTGTTTAAGGTGTAGAAGCTGTCGCCAACACAACAACCACACCCTGAGTTAACGAGCTGTATGACCCAGTGTCAAGGAATAGTCCGAGAAGACCGGACAACTCGCCAACTGCACTGGCTAACCATTACCCCGGAATACGGGGTTCCCAATTACTGCTGGGTAGACAGAGGCAAATGGCGTAAATAAACCCTGCCCCGGGGTCGAACCCGGGTCCGCTCGCTTGCGTGACGAGCATGCTGACCATTACACCACAGGTTGTCGTACATACATCTATACTCACACGAACACACACACACACACACACCCAAGAACACACACAAACACACACACACACACACACACAAACACACACACACACACACACACAGGTACGTAGTGGGGGAGAGAATCAGACCACTGTGGGGGCGGCCAACACAGGTGAATTATTACAAGCCTAAAGTAATTTATGACAGGTGAAGCAGAACAAACATTGCATCCCCCTGTCACCTCCATGTTGCATAACCACTGTGACCTCCTTCCCTTGCAAGCTATCAACCTCTGTTATATCTGTTGCACTCGGTGAACTCAGCCGGGTCAATGTTGTTGTTGTGGTGGTGGTGGTTGTTGTTGTGGTGGTGGTGGTTGTTGTTATTGTTTTTGTGGTGGTGGATGTTGTTGTTGCTGTTGTTGTGGTGGTGGTTGTTGTTGTTGTGGTGGTTGTTTTTGTTGTTGCTGTTGTTGTGGTGATAGTTGTTGTTGTGGTGGTGGTAATGGTGGTGGTGATGGTTGTTGTTATGGTGGTGGTGATGGTTGTTGTTGTTGTGGTGGTGGTTGCTTGTCAGGTGGTGCAGGTGGCTTGTTGTGGTGGTGAAAAGTGGTAATGGTAGATGATGGTTGTTGTTTTGTTGGTTGTTGTGGTGGTATATATTTTAATACCAACAAACCATCTGCCCTGGCCCAGAGAGAGAGAGAGAGAGAGAGAGAGAGAGAGAGAGAGAGAGAGCACAACCTAAATTAAGTACACACACGCACACACACACACACACACACACACACACATACATACACACACAAGACTCCAGTGAAATAAGGTGATGGAGGAAAGGCATACCCAGCAGGATGGTGGGGAGGAGGAGGAGGAGGAGGAAGAGGGAGACGAAGAGGAGGAACAGAAGGATAACGAGGGAGGAAAAGGAGGGAGGAGGGTAATGTTGAGGAGTAGGCAGCAAAGGAGGCCAAGAAGAGGAGGACTTTCCAGGAGGAGGAAGAGGGAGGATCAGGCGAGGAAGAGGAGGATCAGGGCGAGGAAGAGGATCAGGGTGAGTGAAGGATCAGGGCGAGGAAGAGGAGGAGGGCGGTGCAGAGGAGATCAGGGCAGGGCAGGAGGATCAGGGTGAGGAAGAGTATCAGCAGAAGAGGATCACCGCGAGGGGAAGAGGATCAGGGCGAGGAAGAGGAGGAACAACAAAAGGTAAGAGGAGGTACCAGTATGAGAAGCACGATCGAAAGTGAGGAAGAGAGATCAGGGGCGAGGAGGATCAGGGCGAGGAAGAGGAGGATCAGGGTGAACGAGGAGGTAGTAATGGTGGTGGTGATTATACGTCCTGTCACCAGCAACACCCTGAAGGTCATGGTACCCTATGACACTATACTTTTGTTCACGTTAACATCATCACATTCATATTATTATTTTCACCATCACCACTATAGCTTAATTCTCTCTCTCTCTCTCTCTCTCCACGCAAAATTGCCACTAAAGGTACAAGTTAGAACTAAAAACATATGATAGCCCCTAAATCTTGCTCTCCATTAGCCCCTGAAGCTATAACTTGAAGCTAACACTCAAGGTATCGTTCATAGCTGATACTCAAAGCTAACACTTAATACTCAAGGTACCGTCCCAAGCTGACACTCAAAGCTAACACTCAACACTCAAGGTATCATCCACAGCTGACACTCAATACTCAAGGCACCTTCAAAGCTAACACTCAAAGTTCCTCCCCAAACTGACACTCAAAGCTAACACTGAACACTGAAGGTACCGTCCCAAGCTGACACTCAAAGCTAACACTCAACACTCAAGGTATCATCCACAGCTGACACTCAATACTCAAGGCACCTTCAAAGCTAACACTCAAAGTTCCTACCCAAACTGACACTCAAAGCTAACACTGAACACTGAAGGTACCGTCCCAAGCTAACACTCAAAACTCAAGACGCCGCCCCAAGGTGACACTCGAGGGGTCTGAGCCTCTACACGTCGGGTTAAGTCTTAGCGTCAAGTGTCGAGGCCCAACACTCGAGGGTGTCCACGACCCAATATTGGTTTTCTAATAATTTACTCTTGATGTTATCCAGTCAACCTCGAGCCTGGAGGACGACTCTCTCTCTCTCTATCATACTATCTCTCAGTCTCTCTCTACCATACTACACACATGTTATTATCTCTCTCTATCTCATATCTCTCTTGATCTCGCATAGACAAGCTACCTCATACAAGACCAACACTGTTCATATTAGATCAGATTACTTCACCATGTCTCTTCCACCACAACAACCACAACCACAACCACAAAAACACAATACATTCACCACAACAATAACCACAACACTCCTTTCCCCTCCCCTTCCCTTCCTTCCCCTCCCTACCACCATCTTTTCCCCATAACCACTCCCATTCCTCCTACTACCCCTCACCCAACCCCCCTCACCTACTCTAATTCATTCATAATTAATCATTAACTGTTGTAATTAGGTTAATGTTCTTTTGGAGGTAAACTGTCCTTACTTTTAACCCTGGCTATAGGTTATTAACGCACCACTAACTATATATAACAAATCAATAACCACTCACTCAATGCAGGGTCAAAGGTCAAACTGTTTGAGGTGTTAATATGCAAATGTAAGTGTTGTAATAAACTGACAGCATCCACGCCCCTAGACACGCCCCTAGACACGCCACTCCGTCACTCATCTTAGCTGGGATCATCTCGGAAGCTCATAACTATTGCCTAACTCATCATGAATTAAATATCTGTTTAAACATTATCTAGTTAAGTGTTACTACGAATAAATGACAAACACTTAATTGTGGTTCAAGAAATTACCTGTTATTTAAATCACATGGAGGTTATTGGTGTAATTGAGCTGTTACGGCGGTGTTAGTAGCAGCTAGTTCAAGTGAGCAGTAGTTAAAAGGTGTATCACGATATAAAGGCCAGTTGACAAGATTCATCCAAAAGATTCAAGAGACACAAGAGCCTAAGAGCCACCAAGAATCAACCAAGATTCAAAACTCAAAGTCTTTATGATTCAACGATTTAAGACTCAAGCTTAAAAAATTCTTCTAAATCAAGTTACAAGTTTAAGACTAAGCAACAATCACCAAACATAAAACCAACCATTATAACACTGCTGACCCATGTTGACCTCAGCGCCACGAGACGTCACACACATCCCGTGACCGTCTCGACCATCATCTATAATCTCTATATATAGTTATAGACCATGGTCGAGACTATAAACTTCCTGTGTACGTCTCCACCACTACACATCCTGTATGACACCAGCTCGGCGCCTGTTCTTCCTACCAGCAACTAAAGGCTCTACAACATCTCCCGGACACCACATCTCCCGGACACCACATCTCCCGGACACCACATCTCCCGGACACCACATCTCCCGGACACCACATCTCCCGGACACCACAAATCGTAGAGGTGACCACATCTGGGGCAACGACTTCCACCACCTCGTTGATGTAGCAGACCCCAGCAGCAGGCGGAGCAGCGAGCCATCAGCACAACACCCATCAACTCTACATGTTTAAGAACCAACATTCGTCCTTACAGCATCGATGACGTGGACTACAAGTGTGACGTCATCCATGTCACCAGAGACTACACGCCTCCTAACCACTGCAGTTGGTCTCGTCAAGTAGGTCAGGTACACACGCACACATTATTTTCTACTACTATATCAACACGTGTGAACTACTGGTGACCTGCCATTAACTATAACCTAAACAAACACATCTAGTAAAGTGTTACCATAAATAAAGGTCAAACACTCAGCTGTGGGTCAAGAAACTACCACCATGGACAAGCCCTAACGTCAACTACAACAACAAAGGGAATAATTACATCAAGGTTGTGAACAAGTGAACACAAAATACTGAAAAATGCCACGAAGTAAAAGTACTGCTCATGGTGTAAAAAGTTACTCAAGTAAAAGTAAAAAGTAGCCTCAATGAAGACGACTACAGAAAAGTTATAAAAAAAAAATCCTTAAGTACAGAAAGTAAAAAGTAATTTCCCTTAAATACAGTTTATGTTTAGCGGTGAATATGGTACACCACACCACACCACACCACACCACACCACACCACACCACACCACACCACACCATCACACCCACACCACACACACCCACACCACATCACACACACCCACACCACACCACACCACACCCACACCACACCACACCACACACCACACCACACCACACACACCACATCACATCACACCACACCCACATCACATCACACCACACACACACCCACACCACACCACATCACATCACACACCACACCACACACACCCACACCACACCACACCCACACCACATCACACACCACACCACACCCCACACCACACCAAGGTCATTGTTAATTGGGCTCTTGATGGACAGAAATATTTTAAACTTGTTGTGTCAATAAATTAACTTGACCTTTGTAACGCTGGTCGCTATAGTTACAAGAGAGAGAGAGAGAGAGAGAGAGAGAGAGAGAGAGAGAGAGAGAGAGAGATGAAACACAAAATAAATAAAAATTGAGAAAGAAAGAAAGCAATGTGCCAACTCAAGCAACAATGCCCAGTTATCAACAAACATTTTATAATTTTACGCGATCTTGGAGTCCTTGGCTTCAGTCTGTTTTATTGTCACATAATACCTAACCTAACCTAACCTAACCTTGAAGATGTGTCCTGTGTAAATAATATATTGTTACGGTGTGTGTGTGTGTGTGTGTGTGTGTGTGATAGCCCAGACTGCTAGTTACAACAGATTGCACTCATCCAAAACTCTATTTCAAACAAGTGTGTTTGTGTCTAAATCTAAATTGGCCTAATTCAAAACCATTGCTCCGTGTTCGCTCCCATTGGTTAGCTTAAGTACCCTTGTTATATCTCCTTTATTTAACCCCGTCTTCCATTTATGCAGGAGTGCGGTGGTCGAGTGGATCCATTGCTCTCCTCCGGCTCCCGTGGTCTGTGGTTGGATCCTAGGCACTCCCAGTTCACCCAGCTGTAAATGGGCACCCGAGTTTACAGTTCGGGAAGAGAGGTGGTGTGAATGTGTTGTGACCTGTGGTGTAATGGTCACCCTGCTCGTCTCTGCAGCGAGAGGACCCGGTTCGATCCCCAGGCAGTTTGTAACTATAGGCAAGTTCTTTACGCCATTTGCCTCTGTCTACCCAGCAGTACAGACCTGGATGTTAATCAATTTGCAGATCGTGTTCAGGGTATGGCAGTGCAGTTGGCGAGCTCGGTCTTCTCGGACCATTCCTTGACACTGGGTCATACAACTCGTTAACTCAGGGTGTGGTTGTTGTGCTGACGACAGCTTCTACACCTTAAACAAATTCACGCCTATGTGACCCTTGGGCCGGCCATTCTCGTTTCATCATTATTATTATGTGTGCGTGAGAGAGAAATGTAACATGTCGATATAAAACACAGCATGTATGCATGTACACCTGCAAACGTGTGCGTGTGTGAACCAGTAGAGTATTGACAGGCGCGACGAGCGAGACTCACCTGTGTATAGATCAATATTTCCCCCCGGCAGGAGGAGGAGACGTGGGCAGGTGGCGGCAACCTTAAAACAAACACCTGTGTCCCAAGGTTCAGCACTCAGCCAACACCACCGATACGCTGTCAACACTAATTAGCGTACCGTAGTTTCACCTGTGTCAACCGGCTCAATGGATGCCTTTTCTGACTGACTGAGTGACTAAGAAATCGATATTCAAGGGAGTTCAGGCGTAGTTCCGTCTCACAATGTCCGCTTCCACAGCTTTTTCAAACAGAACAGGACGTCTTAAAACTTTCCTAATTGCAAAAATATGTCTTAAAACTTTCCGAGTCACAAAAATACGTCATAAAACTTTCCTAGTCACCAAAATACGTCATAAAACTTTCCTAGTCACCAAAATACGTCTAAAACTTAACCAGAAAAAAGTATTAGTGTAAAAGTTAGATATTATACGTTAAATCACCCAGACTATCGGGAACACAAAATGAGAACTAGCACAGGGCAACGAATTACTACCGACTGACTCCTCTGATGCGGGCCCTGACTGTGCTGCTGTATATCTTATCTCCACCCCACCCCCCCCACACACACACCGCACCACTAGGTACTACTGATATGACAAGACTGATATGCTTATCATTAGGAGTCTGTTGATAACCACAATGGACTAAAACTCGAAATATGTATGTACTGTATGTATGTATGTATGTATGTATGTATGTATGTATGTAAAACAGGGAGGTACTACCGCCTGGGAAGATATTGGAAGCATAATGTGTTGTCTAATGGTAGACCCTGCTGCCATATGTGACTGGTCCCAGGTTGGTGATCTGACTTTCTGCCTCATTTACACACAGTTGCAGGGTCTCAATTGTTTCTCTTACTATTGACAACACAACATACATATATTGTTTCTCACTATTGATTTTTTTTTCATTTTTGCATTTCTTTTATGGTTCTTTATTATCATTATTATTATTATTATTATTATTATTATTATTATTATTATTATTATTATTATTATTATTATTATTATTATTATTATTATTATTATCATTGTTGTTATTACATTTTCGTCCCCCAGGCCCTGATGAGGTCAGTGACCTGTGCCCCGGGTGTAATAATACGCAAAAAAATTGTATCAGTCTAATGTACCAATGTGTCTCGTTATTTATCGATCTATGTACTAAATCAGTCTATATTTATCTCTAGCCATCAATGTCTCGCTATTCATCTCTCTGTACGTATCAGTGATTTATTTTCTTGATCAGCCACTAACTATTACACCCCACTTGCCTCAGTGCCCCCCCGAGGACCTACCTAGAGCCAGCAGTGTAAAGCAGTTCCTCCTCCCCACCAGCAGGCACTACCCTCCTCCTCCTCCTCCCACCCAGCAGCACTACCTCCTCCATCCTCCCTCCCACCCCCCACAGGCTCACCTCCTTCCTCCTCCAGCAAGGCACCACCTCCCTCCTCAGCAAGGTACCACTGCATCAAGGTTACATTATAGTTCCTCAGAGTTATGCAAATTAAATCCGATTTTCATAATAGAGAGAGATTGACTTCCATTCCTCGCCTCCAGTGATCCCAAACCAGATGAGCTAATTATTATTTTTATTTTTTTTATTTTTTAATTATT